AAAAATCCCAAGTAAAGCCAATAAAAGCCGTAAAATAAAGCTAATACTAGCCATAATTAAATCAAATAATATCCACGATTAAAGCCATCAATTGCCTCGTATAAAGTGAATAATGATCAAAAGTAAAGCTAATTTAACAATAAGTAGCTAACAATAACTTAAAATAAAGCTAATCATAATTAATAAAGCTAATAATCGCTCTAAATAAAGCTAATAATTGCCACCAGTAAAGAACACATCCAAGAATAAATTAATTAACACAATTAGAAGAACAAGGAAGAAAAAAAAAGACAGGAGAGTAGTGGTAGAACATCTGCTTCTTCTACTTCTACCCAGTAGAGGTAGAAGGAGCGTAGATATCAGCCCCCATTACAAAAAAAGATGCAACTGTTTCGGCTCTCCAGAGACGTGCCAACCCTATCAACCCATCTAACCCCCATCGATAGCCGATGCGTCGAAAACCTCACTATTACGGCGTTTTAACGGTTATGCGTCGCATTCTGAGGGAATGAGTTCGATACCGCAATGTGCCGTAGATGGTATGGTCTGTGTGGTTGCAGAGAGGCCATGAAATCATGCAACCTGGCAGTGTGAGCGCTTGCAAGAGGCAGTTGAAAATCAATTCCGCCAGAAGCTATGCAACAGAGGTTCGCCTTATCGCCATGCAAAACCGGAGCTGTTAGAGTCACGGTAAATTGACTGAACCTGTGTTTATGAGAGTGTGTATTACGGGAGTGTGGTTTGTGGTAGGGAGAGTCTCACTGTGTGTGTCTTGGAGGAGCGTGGTTTGTGGTAGGGAGAGTCTCTCTGTGTGTGTCTTGGAGGAGCGTGGTTTGTGGTTGGTTGGTTGTGTATGTTGGTTAGGCGACGTGTATGGACGTTAGCTGACGTGTATGTGGTTGTCAGGTGACGTGTGTGGACGTCAGGTGATGTGTATGGTTGTCAGGTGACGTGTATGGTTGTCAGGTGACGTGTATGGACGTCAGGTGACGTGTATGGTTGTCAGGTGACGTGTATGGACGTCAGGTGACGTGTATGGACGTCAGGTGACGTGTATGGTTGTCAGGTGACGTGTATGGACGTCAGGTGACGTGTATGGACGTCAGGTGACGTGTATGGACGTCAGGTGACGTGTGTGTGTGGTTGTCAGCTGACAGGAGTGGGATGAAGTGTGTGGGATTTAACCCTAATCCAAGCGCCAATCCCTGGAAGGTTAATCGACCCTTTATATTCAAACTGGAAATAACAAATGACCTTTTGTGTAAATTTAAATGACAAACACACGCAAAAAATAAAGCAAAGGTGTTTGGATTTTAACATGGTCATAACTTTATTAATACATCTCTAATTGGCTCGTTTTATCTCTCAGTCTTGCCGTCTACAGGTTGTGTTTATCTCCTGTGTGTGTGTGTGTGTGTGTGTGTGTGTGTGTGTGTGTGTGTGTGTGTGTGTGTGTGTGTGTGTGTGTGTGTGTGTGTGTGTGTGTGTGTGTGTGTGTGTGTGTGTGTGTGTGTGTGTGTGTGTGTGTGTGTGTGTGTGTGTGTGTGTGTGTGTGTGTGTGTGTGTGTGTGTGTGTGTGTGTGTGTGTCTCCAAGCGAGGGAAGGGCGGTGTTTAACAAGCAAAATAGTATGGTACAATGTACTGGTTGCCATGTTTGGCAACCCAGAGGAATATGGCAAGCCACATAGGTGGCCATGCCATGCAATTACACCTTTACAAGGTGTTTATATACTAGCTACCTTGTCCAGAATTGTTCCTTCCCCCAACATTTGCAGAGGGAATGGTCTGGGGTTAGGGACGATCATAGGTTAGTCATAGGTTCGGTCGGCCCATGGTTTAAGACAGTACTGGGGTATGACGATTAAGATCATGGAAGCATTCAGGTTTTTAAGTCTTGTGTTGTATTTGTCACTCACCAGATATATCCGTATTTATGAGGAATTTGATTCACGATGTGACGTATCGTAAAACTATTAACTAAATGGGAGACAGGGGGGAGACATGATCACCCCACTCAAAATACTCACGGCACACAAGGGCAGATATTTTAGCCGAGGTAGTGACAATATATGCGGAAAATCCACAGAGAAATGGAAAAGAAAGATGATGAAGTTAAGATAGGTTAGGTTAGGTTAGGTAGGGTAGGTTAGGTTCGGTCATATATCTGCGCTAGTTTTAACTCAAATTGAAAAAACTTAACTCATACATAATGAAATGGATAGCTTTATCATTTCACAAGAAAAAAAAAATATAAAAATATATAAATTCAGAAAAACTTGGCTAACTAGCAAATCGGGCCTTGCATAGTAGGCCGAGTACTGCGTTCTGGCTACTAGGTACGACATACATACATATATATGTACATATATATATATATATATATATATATATATATATATATATATATATATATATATATATATATGTATATATATATATATATATATATATATATATATATATATATATATATATATATATATATTTATATATATTAGTATATTTTGGTAGCAGTCTTTCTTGTAGACATATTTTATTAAATATGACCGAAAAAGTAAGATTAATAATTCTAACACGAATTTTCTCAATCTTTCGTACATTATGCTTCACTGTTGGAGGTAAATCAAAAATCACTTCTCCAAAATTCATTTTTATTTCTAGTCTGACGCGACACGGGCGCGTTTCGTAAAACTTATTACATTTTCAAAGACTTCACAAATACACAACTGATTAGAACTTGCGTTTCCCTGATTTTATATCTACATTTGAGTGAGGTGGGAAGGGTGATGTGGCATTACATTTGAGTGAGGTGGGAAGGATGATGTGGCATTAACACAAGACAGAACACTAGAGGATATTAATAGGGTATTAAAAGTATCAACACAAGACAGAACACGAAACAATGGATATTGAATAGAATATTCAATATCCATTGTTTCGTGTTCTGTCTTGTGTTGATACTTTTAATACCCTATTAATATCCTCTAGTGTTCTGTCTTGTGTTAATGCCACATCATCCTTCCCACCTCACTCAAATGTAATGCCACATCACCCTTCCCACCTCACTCAAATGTAGATATAAAATCAGGGAAACGCAAGTTCTAATCAGTTGTGTATTTGTGAAGTCTTTGAAAATGTAATAAGTTTTACGAAACGCGCCCGTGTCGCGTCAGACTAGAAATAAAAATGAATTTTGGAGAAGTGATTTTTGATTTACCTCCAACAGTGAAGCATAATGTACGAAAGATTGAGAAAATTCGTGTTAGAATTATTAATCTTACTTTTTCGGTCATATTTAATAAAATTTTATATATATATATATATATATATATATATATATATATATATATATATATATATATATATATATATATATATATATATATATATATATATATATTGAAAACGAACGGGAACGCACCGAGCGCTTTTGACTTTGTCTTCTTCAGAACTGAACTGATTAATAAACTAATAAACTAGTAAATGAGTTAAGGTACTAGTAGAGTAGCTAGTAGAGTAGCTAGTAGAGTAGTAACTAGTAGAGTTCAGTTCAGCTGTAAGACACAGTCGAAAGCGTTCAGCTGTTAAACTTTCATTTTTCACTCTGGTTATTCTGCATTCCTGGCTCCGCGTTTTGTTTATCCATGTTGCATATATACATATATTATGTATATACATGTATACAGTATGTAGAAAGAGGAACTTTGGCGCGGAAGGAGGAGTTACGTGACAATCGAAGCTCAAGCCTAACATTTTAGCTCAGGTCAAAGCTAAATGACTAAAGGTCAGATAACTAGGGGATTTGCTGTAGTCACATGTGCTACACACACCTGCTGCCTCAAGCTGTGACTCAAGCGGTAGTTAGGCTCCGGTGACTAATCAGATCCTATATAATGGCGCTTGGAAAAGACGATTAACTTTGACCTGTAATTGTTTCGTAAACACTAAGATGATGAGACACAAGATGCTTGTAGTTTGACTAGAAAATACTGACAACCAATAGTTACAGAGTCTAATACCCTTATCCCCCATTACTCTGGGAGTTAAGGGGCGTGGGTGTAACTCCCAGTACTAAATCCCCGAGGAGTACATAATGCCTTGGAGTACAATAGCACATGTACATTAATTCAGAGTTCCAACATACTCCAACAGACTCCAAATTCGTGTCTTAGTGTCAAGACTATAGTTCTGTATTATGATAAGCATTCTTGAAGATTAAGACAGTTAGCTGCCCTAATTATCTGGAATAAGGCAGCTAATTTAGCTCATATTTGGGGTATGTTATTGATTCTGTTCATACAGAATGTATGAACACACAATTCATGAAAAGGTTTACATATACAAGTATACACGTAAGATCTTGAGATCTTACGAGATCTTAAGAGATCTTGTTTACAAAACTCAAGTTTATATGTAAAAATCACAAAATAAGGATAAATAAGGATAAATAAGGATAAATTTCATTCTCAAGTAAGAGTTCCCATAATATTAATTTAACCTTAAACTCTTGAAAAAAAAGAAGGAATTAGGACATTATGATGTATGGAGAAATGTATGGTAGCCCCCACTAATAAACACACGAAAAACACGAATTGGTGTGTAACAGGTTTGGACAGGTGTGTAACAGGTTTGGACAGGTGTATAACAGGTTTGGACAGGTGTGGGTTAGCACTGGAACAAATTCAAAACGGCTCTCGGGCAGGCCCTAGGGACAAATTTGGAAACAGATGTTTCGCAGACTTGTAGAACAGGTGTGTGACAAAGGTATGAAGGATGACTGGAACAGGTGTGTGATGAACAGGTGTGTGTGTGTGTGAAGGTACTCACCTCCGGCTGTGGCGCAGTGGGCGATCCACAGAAGATGAAACACCAACACAATCTTGGACAGGTAAACGACCTTGTTAACCTGAGACACCATCTTACATATCTTTCTTAATCTTTAGTACACTGTCTATACATATATATATATACATACATACATATATTTTTTTCCTTTTTC